TTAGTGAGGCAAATAAAACATATAATAGAAATCATAAAAAACATCCCATATAACAAAACAAATGAACATTTAATACTAATTTATCATACAAAATCATATACCTTTTTATATAACAAAGACACTCATGTACATATATCATAATCTACTTTCTTAGCATTATCATATATATATCATTATCATTATCTCTATCATTATCATCGAATTATTTATCACATAATCTTGTACTTATCCTTTTTGTATATCATATCACTCATATATCATTTCACCAAAAGCATATACATTATATATATTGTATTTATGTTATCTCTTTGATTAGCCCAAGGTACACTTGTGAGAACTATCGATATGTGAGTCTATAGAGGTTGTGCACTAATGCTGTCACCACAGCTCGTATCATTGCACCGAAGTGCACGTAGAATTGCACCGTAGTGCCATATAATAATGTCCATAAGGACCACATATCATTCCTTAAGAATCATATACATATACTAGGGATCAAGTATGTATCTTACAAGACTTCACACATGTTCCACAGAATATATATATATCCCGAAGGACCGCGTAGAATTGCACCGTAGTGCCATATAATAATGTCCATAAGGACCACATATCATTCCTTAAGAATCATATACATATACTAGGGATCAAGTATGTGTCTTACAAGACTTCACACATGTTCCACAGAATATATATATATCCCGAAGGACCACGTAGACCCTCGACTCTTGGCATGCCAACTATACCCCTAGCTCTCATGACATATAACATGGGCATTATCATTTATTTCATTTCAAATATTCACATAAACATGTAATTCACTTTCACATATCACGTATCATATAGCTTCTTTTCATATTATCACATAGTTCACTTACATGTAGATCATTTCCATATAATTCACAGGTCACATATCTCATGTTCTTGTATTCATATAACATATAATCACATAATTCATAGTTATGATTTCATATATTTACTTAATTACAAAGCTAATTCACATATACCTGTTTTCATATAATTTCTATCATTTCTCACCCAATCACATTTATTCATGTAAACATACTTATCATATCTTGTTCACATATGATCATATATTTCCTATAACATATAGAAACACCTATAACACTTTCACATAGCTTATATCGTATTTCTAAATATATATATCATTTAATAGTATTTTTATTTGGGTAATAATTTAATCTATTTATTTAATTCAATTTCATAATTTCATTATAATCTTTTCATATAGCTCTATAGATATTTAGCATATAACTTATCTTGTATATTCGTATCGTCCCTTTATATTCAAGTTTCCTAATTGATATATTATTCCCATTTCATTCTATAATTCAATCTTATTTAGTTCCCTTAACTCTCATTAAATCAAAAGCTCTATTATACTAATTCCCATGATGGATCATATCACTATGTACTTGTCCAACTCATGTTACCTAGTTCATATCACTTCTCATGAACTCACTCTCATCATATTTTTCTATTCTTACATCTTTTATCTCATAACCATGTATTCACATAGCCTTATATTTCATTATCATATTACTTATATTTGTTCTCCTATGACTCTTTATAAACATCTATTTCCATTTCCCTACATCTCTTGACTTATCTTCTATATTCATATAATTTCATAACTTATTTTATATTCTCTCATTAACACTTAACCGTATTTTTACATAAATCACATAGCACATACAAAACAAAACGTATCAATTCATATAATCAAACATACATACACTTCATATCGTTAACATAATTATAATCAAGACTTAATGAGCTATTACTATAAGAATAGACTTATCACAAGTCCAATTTCCATATAATCTTATACAATAAGATGCACTCACCTGGGCCTCGTTGTTTTGAATCAATCATAATCCTTAGTTTGTTCCGGAACAAGCTTTCATTCTATATCTACATAATAATACATTAATACTTATCAGTATACTGATTGATATATTCAAAACTATCACTCCTTAGGCTCAGAGAAAAGCCAATTTCATCTTTTAATGAAGGTATGCATCGATGCACTACTGATGCATCGGTGCATAAAATGCATTCGATGTTGTATTATTACTGGGATGCATCGATGCATGCCTTATGCATCGATGCACTAATTGCATTCGATGTTTCTATTTTTAAAAGAGTGCATCGATGCATTACCAATGCATCGATACACCTTCAAATAATTTCTGGGTTTTAACCTTGATGCATCGATGCACTATGAATGTGCATCGATGCACTCTGCCCAGAATCCTCTTTTATGCCCGAAAATCCACTCTTTTCAGCTTAATACTTCATATATCATTCCCTTTATTATTTTTAACTTACATACTCATATTCAAACTCATTCATATTCATTAATCACCTCTTTAACATCAAAATCCTATTCTCCATATGTAATTCAAGAATTACACTAAATTTTCAACATGTTCCAAATTCAATTCTATTGCTTCTAGCTTCTTAATTATACCCTTGACAAGTCAAATCCATCTTTAGAACTTCAAAAACCTTTCTATACAAAATTTCATTTCTACACCCTTCATATCATTTCATTTCTAATTCTCTATTCTTGATGTTTAAAGCTTATATAAGCTTTCCTTAAGCTTATATAATACTCCAAGAATCAAAATCAACTTATAAATCCAAGAATTAAACAGCTGAAATTAAACTCACCTTTAAATGAGGCTTACGGGGAGAAGAAGAAGCTGGAGAAGAAGACTCTGGATAATTCTCTCCTTTCCCACGTGGTTTCCTTAAAAAGGGAAAATAAAAATCTTCTCTTAGAAAAGACCATAATACCCTTGTTACTTTCCAGCTTTACTACTAAATCCATGAACTTTTAACTTATTTCGAAATCAAGCACATAGTTTTCAAAATTTGCAATTTAGTCACTGACCCTGAATTTTGGGATGTTACAAATTCGGGTATTTTTTTATTATTTAATGTTTCATAAAAAAATTGGTATTTTTCTTATTAAAGGTTTCATAATAAATTTGGGTATTTTCTTATTGAAGATTAATTGAAGTTGCAAATTGATAATTGATTATGATATTTATGTTAGATTGACTGTTAATTGATAAGGAACAATGATATGATCTCGGTTTGATGGTGAATTATGTTGTCGTGGCAAGTACAGTTAATGACGTTGCCGTGAGCAAGTGAAGTAGTTAATGATATTGTCGTGGCAAGTGTAGGAATACATCAAACAATTTTGGATCATGAATTAAATCTTTAATATTTTAGCTAGTGCGTTAGTCACCAAAGTGACCCACTAGAAATTCATTAAATGATTTATATTATGTTTATAAATATTTATTTGATGTAGCATCATAAATGACATTTAAGAATAATAAACATTTATAGTTATTAACATATAGTTATATGATTACCTAAAGGTAAATCTTACTCATGGTTAATAACAATTGAAGTAGGTTATGAACTTTGTTTAATTAATATATAAGTTACATCCAAATATGACTTGTATGTTAAAGTAAACTTAATGATTGACCTTGTATATGTTATAAGGATGATGCATGTTTGATGATTGTTGGTTGTGTTTAGATTTAGCCCAAAGGTGAATTTAAATGCAATGTTTTGGAATATGTTATAGTCTGAATTGTGGTTTAAATTCAAAGGAATTAATATGTAAGATGTAAATGTTTGCAGTGGTCTCTACTATGTCAAATATGATTGCCAATGGTATCAAGTTTAATGGGCAGAAATATGATGATTGGATCAAATATGTCAAGCTAAATGTTGGCCTTTTGGGACTCGATTTAGATATAGTTATGGAAGAGCCCACTAAACCGACTGATACTTGTTCGGAGGCAAACAAGAAACTGTGGGAGAACTGGGAGAGATTGAATAGGCTTATGATGTGCTTTCTTAAGCTTAGCATAGCACCTAATATTAAGCTTTCCCATCCCAAGACTGAAAATGTGAGGGAATTTGTGCCTAAAATTAAGAAGTGTACTATGACAGACATTGTGGATAAGTCTATTGTTGTTGCTCTTATTGATGATTTATCTAATAGAAAGTACACTATAGCTTAGTCAATGGAAGAACACATTACTCATATGGTGAATACCTACAACTGGCTTAAAAGTTTGGATATGGATCTTGGTGAGAGGGTGTTAGTTGAGTTCATGTTCAAACCATGTAAGGGTGACGATTTCAAGCAATTTTGGAGAACATACAACTAACTTAAGGAAAATGGTCTTTTTCGGATACTCAGGCCATGCTCTTGCAAGAGGAGGCAAGGTAAAGGGAAGACCTTAAAGTCAAACTTCCCCAAGCCAATTTTACCTATTGTGGTAATTCAAACGCTGGTTCTAATGGCGGAAAAGCTCCAAGTAAGAAAATGAAGAACAAGAAAAAACAATTATTTAAGGTACATTCCAGTAAAGGGCAAGAAGGGGTTGAAAAGATATTGAAATGTTTCTTTTGCAATAAATCTGGGCACAAGAATGTTGATTTCCCAAAGAGGAAGACATGGTTTGAAAAGAGAGGGTTATCTAAATATTCACCGGATGTCAGAAAGTGAAAGCTTTATATTTATGGGAAACATGATGAAGGCTAGAATTGAAGGTGTAGGGAAGAATAGAATTGTGTTAGATACGTGATATTGCCTTGATCTAGAGAAGTGTCTATATGTTCCAGATTACTCTAGAAATCATGTTTCTCTTTCTAGGTTAGATGTTTTAGGATTTGATTTTAGGATTAGACATGGTGTCGCTAATGATCGTGGGTTATTGCATGATGTTAAGGGCTACATTTCTTGCAACTTTGAGATGAATGATATGGGTGAGGCTTCTTATGTGATCGGAATAGAAATATTTTGAGATATATTACAAGGAATTTTGGGATTGTCTCAAAAGGCTTACATCAACAAATTTCTAGAAATATTTAAGATGAAATCATGTATACCTAATCCAGTTCCCATACAGAAAGGAGACAATTTTAATATGTCTCAATGTACCATGAATGACATAGAGCGCAAAAAAATGGATAATATCCCTTATTCATCTTTAGTCGGGAGTTTGATGTATGCTCAGACATGTACTAGGTCGGATATAAGTTTTGCGGTCGATATGTTGGGTCGTTATCAATCAAATCCTGGACTTATTCATTGGAGAGCTGCAAAGAAAGTTTTAAGGTACTTGCAAGACACTAAGGATCACATGCTAACGTATAGAAGAACTAGTAACCTTGAGGTTGTTGGTTACTCGGACTCAGACTATGTCGGATGTTCGGATACCCAGAAGTCCACATTCGACTATGTGTTCCTTCTAACTGATGGAGTTGTCTCATGGAAGAGTGGTAAGCATATTGTCATTGCTACTTCCACTATGGAGGCTGAATTTGTAGCATGCTTTGAAGCTACAGTTCAATTGTTATGGCTACGCAATTTTGTTGATGGTTTAGGCATCGTTGGTACCATTGCTAAACCGATGGGGATTTATTTTGATAATGCGACGGTTGTGTTATTTTCTAAGAATGATAGATACTCTAAGTGTGCCAAACATATGGATGAAAGTATCTATCGGTCAAATAAGATGTGCAAAATCAAATAGTGCACATTGGCACCAAAAATATGATTGTGGATCTGTTGACTAAAGGACTAGCTCCTAAGACATTTATTGGCCATGTTAGTGAAGAGTAGTCACGAAGTCCTTGTATAGAGGATTATTAGTCATACATGTATGAATATATGTCTTGCACATTTATGTTTGTTTGATACTCTAGATATCGATGTTAGTTTAGATTTTGCTTATCTATGAATCATATTTCAGTTATGCATATTTTGTTATGATTATAGATGTTGGATCTTATTTTAAGACATTGTCGGATAAGATATATTCGGGTGTCTACCTTATTAAATTGTGTCTGTTTGAATTGGATTGACATGTAATATATGGAAGAAATCGGGTTGTTTGCTAGGCCCGTGACCGCCATGATTCGGTCGGTTTAATTCTTACGAAGTTGTGACTTGTATATTACATTATTTAAGTGAGCTCAAATTATGTTAATATGTTATATACTTTCCATATATGAATGAAGAGGGAGAATGTTAGAAATTTTGATTTCTAATATTGATTCATATAATTTAAGTAATTGATAATTGTTGTTGTTGTACACACGGTGATGATTAGTGTAGTATTGAGGAGGCAATTATCTGGTGTAAATCCCTCCGTCTCATACTGTGAAAATATAAGTTTGAGTGGTGTTATGTGTAACTGAAAAGTAGGGGTATTTAGGTTATTTTGGTCTTTCGATTATTTTGTGATTTAAAAACATTATGAATCAGTTTTTTAAAACTCGCGTAGGATATAGTTTTTTTCTTCTCAAGGCTGTTTCTGTTACTCCTTAAAAGAAAACAAGAACCCTCTCTATTGTCCCCTTCTTACTTTGCATAAATTAAATGTCTTCATGTGCGAAGTTGGTGATGGACATTCATATCCGATTTCATCTACAGATATCATTTTAGCATCTTTTTTATTATTTTTTATTTTCTTTGGGGTTTAATTGAAATGGATTGAATGCGGATATGAAGATTAATCTTGATACCCAGTCTGAGTTTCTATATGCCGAGTAATTAACGATCGACTATCTGATCCGTCAATAGCTCTCCATCTTACCTTTTCCTTCATTTATCTGTTCCGGTGTTCTTTGATTCTTTAGAAATGGAAATGATGATTGTTGTTTGACACCAGGTCTCACTTTCATCTCTGGATGGAAGATGGTGATAAAAACAACTCTTTTATCTGATCCATATTAACCCTAAATAATCAAACTCTTTTTTTTCCTTTAATCCTGTTTCTTCTTTACAAATATGCAAGGAGGCGTGATGAGAATAACCCATCGTTGCCGCATTTGAATGATGAATAACAACAAGCACTACCATCTGATCTCTTGCATGATTTTTCAGTATCCTTTTAGAGTCTCAAAATTGGGGTAGTTTTTGCAAGTTACTGGCTTTTTGTGATGTTTTTTTGTTTGTCATTTGCAGCAATCGATGATGTAAATCATTATCATTCCTGATTTATTTATAACGATTATATAACAGTCACCTTCTTTCGGCTGAGATTGCTTATATACATAAGCCTCTTTTTAACCCTCCATCTAAAACAACTTTTCTGTTGGGACTAGGATTGGTTCACCAAAAAAGCAATCATTTTTTTTAATAAAAATTTATGTATTTAGGAAAACAATTTCGAGTATTTTTATTTTAAAAATTAATTCTTAGCCTTTTTATTTTTAAAAATACAATCTTTAATAGTTTATTTTTGTTGTTGTCTGTGGGATCTAATGCCCAGTTTCTTTTTAGTATCAGTGGCTGCGCTTTTCGTTTTAATGACAAATACGGAATCATGAACAAGTCTTGTGAGAGAAATTGGGTTTTTATCTTAATATCATCATTTAAGAATTTAGATAACTTAAAGAAAGTAAATAATATATTATACTTTATCATTGATCATGGATGATTATAATATTTAAATATTTATATAAACTATTATTATAATTGACTTTTTTTATTAGTTACAAATAGCAGTATCTAAACTTTAAAGAGCTTTTGAGGGTGCGTTTGGTTCACGGAATGTAAGATTATCAATGGGAATAAAAGATTACCAGGGAATAGGATTACTGGGAATGTTGTATTTTGTGTTTAGTTGGTTTAGCATGAATGTAATATTACCGTGTTTGGTTAAAGGAATAAAAGATTATTGGAATGTATATTTGACCAAATTGTCCTTAATATATATTTGTTTTTTTAACAAAGTTGGAAAATATTTATATATTTTCTTTTAAAAATTTAAATTCATAAAATTTATATAATTTTTTATACAAAATTGAAAATATAAAAAGGTTTAATGAAAGGGTAAAATTTTATTTTAACCCCTTAACTTCATATAAAATTTTAATTATAGATTTTTTTTATAAATCTAAAATAGTTTAAGGATAAATTTGTAATTTAACTTTCGTGGAATTTTTATTATTCAATGACAGAATAAGGATATTTTTTAAAGAAAAAAATTTAAGGGAATTTTAGTCCAAAACGCTGGTAATCCAACAATACCTAAGGAAAGGGAGGTAATGACATTCCCGATAATATACCCAAAAAAACTACTATTGGTAATGTAAGATTATCGAGAATGATATTTTCGGCCAACCAAACTGGAGAATGTGGATTTCATTCCCATAAGAATCTCACATTCCCCAAACCAAACACACCCTGAGGGTGCGTTTGGTTCACAGAATAGAAGATTACCAGTGGGAATGTAAGATTACCAGGGAATAGGATTAATGAAAATGTTGTATTTTATGTTTGGTTGGCTTAGCAGGAATGTAAGATTACCGTGTTTTGTTAAAGGAATAAAAGATTATTGAAATGTATATTTGACCAAATTGTCCTTATTATATATTTGTTTTTTAACAAGTTGGAAAATATTTATATATTTTCTTTTAAAAATTTAAATTCATAAAATTTATATAATTTTTTTTACTAAATTAAAAATATAAAAAGGTTTAATGAAATGGTAAAATTTTATTTTAACCCCTGAACTTCATATAAAATTTTAATTATAGACTTTTTTTTATAAATCTAAAATAGTTTAAGGATAAATTTGTAATTTAACCTTCGTAGAATTTTTATTATTTAATGACAGAAAAATGATATTTAAAAAAATTTTAAGGGCATTTTAGTCCAAAACGCCGGGAATCCAACAATACCTAAGGAAATGGAGGTAATGACATTCCTGGTAATATACACCAAAAAATTCACTATTGATAATATTACATTACCGAAAATGAGATTTCAGGACTAACCAAACAGAAGAATGTGGATTCTATTCTCATGAGAATCCCACATTCCCCATCTAAACACCCCTGAAGGTTTAAAGCTAACCTGGAATTTCGAGAAAGTTCAACTTCAGCTGGACAGCCCGGATGCCTAGGGTTTGCTTAAAGATACATGCTCCGTACTCATTAGCTAGTTGAGAGATAGCAATGCTGTTAAATCGTGCTAGGGTTGTTGATTTATGTTATTTGATTAATTGAGTTTTGATCATTAAAACATGAACATTTAGAGTTCACCTTCATATTCTTGGAGTTATTTTGCTTACATGTCCTTAGTTTCAATGAAATCGATCATGATGATGAACTGTGATCAAAAATAAAAATTTCGATCAGATTTAGATATTAAATTAATATTTTTATTGAAATTTAATAATCAAATTGATATATTATTTAAAATTGAAAATCAGATTAACATTATGTTTAAAATTCAAGAGTCAAGTTAAATTAACGTTTTGTTTATTATTGAGAGCTAATGTTACAATAATAAATAAAAGTGATTAGAGTGGGGTTTTTTTTTCAAAAAAAATTGATGATCAAAATAAAATAAATCAAAAATAAAAGAGATCACCAATATACTTTATCCTTCTTTTTACTTGTATTTTCTATGATGCTTATGTCTATGTCGGACCATAAGAGAGTAGGTACCAAGCAAATCTACTGGTATCGATTGTCTTTGTTATGAAATCATTTATGTTGATTTTAATATGAAATATTTTGTGTATTTACAGTTCCTTTTAATTTTCATGAATGAAGTGATACTGAATTTGATTTAAAATAAAGATGTGTATTATTGTTTGTGTTTAAGTGGTTAATTTCGTAAACTTATCCAGTGGCATTAATTATTAGAGAGTGAGTATTATTTTTCTTTAAAAATCTCGAATTTGAGGAATTATCTTGTAAAGTGTCCCCAAAAGTTATGCAAGCAAGACTGGTATGAATATAGGACTAGATACTAACAGTGACATATCCAAGAATTTAATATAGAGGTTCAAAATTTTTTAAAAAAAAATTCCAACAAAATGGGCATACAAAATTTCTTATTTTCTTCTCCATCCATTAACATATTGAATTATATTTAATAACTTTTAACATATTGAATTATATTTAATAACTTTTAACATATTAGATTATATTTAATAACTTATCCAAAATAATAGGTATGCACATAACCCCTAAAGAGCCAAGTACATCCGCCCCTCGATCCTAGTATGTTTAATTTTTAAAATTTATTTAAAGAGTTCTTTGAGAGTCATATTTCTAAACCCACCCATGTTCACATATCGAGGCAGAATCCATTTACACAATACATTTTTTTTTAAATTTACAAGAATTTAAAACCAATGGATAAATGAAAATAAAAGATTAAAATTAACTCATTTTTTCTAATAAATATCTTCTTATTTTTCACCGTTAAACTCAATCGTCTATTTTCCCTCATCCAATTCTTAAATCTATGTAAAACTAAAAAATTTTACACATGTAATTGGATTATATATATATATATATATATATATGCACACTTCATAAAGAATCGGACATAGTGACTAGAATTTGAGACTCAACATATGTTTACAGCCTATGAAAATTGATTTCTTTTTTTTTTTAAATATCAACCATATCAAAGACAATAAATACGAGGGGCACAATTCAATACAGAGATAGCACAATTGTCATTGGCACTCTTAGTTCAACAAGGACGATAATTGACTAAACATATAGCCTCCAACATTACATGCAAGGAATTTCTAGATTAACAAGAACATAATTAACAAGAGAGACTGTTGAACGGGCTACCATAAGGATTTTCGTCTTATAGTCGTCATTCATCAAGCTACCTAGATCAACCGGGAACCATTATCAATTAGTTGTAAGCCTTAAGCGATGAATCCGTAAAGGAAAACTGTTAAAATAACGAGACAAAGAGGTTGAAGGCAAGATCAGTGCTGATTGGAAAAGAATACCAGATAACTGAACAAAAAAGAAACAATGACAAGCAATAAGTTCCAGATCTCAAGTTCTAGTTTCATAGTCCTAGCATTCCCATACACCCACAAATGCACAAAGGGCATGACCTACTCAGTATATCTCAACACTCAGTTCTGCAAACTATAAAGGAAAGTATAATATAACTTTATCTTAACTTGATAGATAACTCGAAAATTCGGTTATCTACCAGAACCAGTAAAAGCTTCAAACAATCCACAACAACTTAAGAATGAGGTTCTTTGCACCGGTGGTGGAGTCGAAGCAGCACGAGGCTGTGAACCAAAGCAGAAATATATAAGAAAAATCAGTTTTTCTTTAGATGAAATAAGGAGCATTCAAACACACGATATACCTGCTTTTCAGAGTACTCGTGGGGCTCTAATGTTTGGTTTGTTTCTGCAAAATTATTTGTTTCGGCCGTAGGAATATCCAAGGATGGGAAGTCTTTTCCTTCAGCTCCTTCCAATTTAACCCCAGAAATCACATTTGATGAGGGCAATAATTTCTCTTCATTTGCCTTCAACCCTGATTCAACTACATCAGGTACTGAATTCTTTTCAGAAGTTTCCGATAACTCTGGCATAGATAAAGCAGTTTTTACCGCGTTGTCAACAGCAACAATGTCACCTGCAGAATTACTATCACCATTCTCAAATGCTCCATGTTCAGCGACCTTCGGAACATCTTCAGCCAAAACAGTAGCCGACTTATTCTCGATATTATATGAGGCCACTTCAGAACCAATATTACAGGCTTCTTCCTTCGACTTCTTCTCAGAGACTTGAGATTCATCATCCGAACTACTGCTGCTGCTAGAGTTCTTATCAAGCTCAACATGCTGAATAGAAACATGTGTGCTCTCAAGATCATTAGTCAGTTCCCACCCTTTCTCGATTTTAACATCAACGACACCAGATCCCGATTTCTCGGTGCTTTCTGTATCTTTAGTGGCCTCTTCCACAGACTTCTCCTCAGTTACATGTGATTGCGATCTTTTCCCTTCATATTCCCCCTGGCTGAATGTATGCCGGTGATTGTAGTCATCCTGAGATGCATGGGAACCAGCGTCGCCACCATCACTATCCCTTTCGTCTTGGCTTCTCGGATCATCATTTCCTAGCACCATTGATAAACATCATAATAGTTCCAACCATCATTCAAACAACAAATATTTCAATCCCCTACAGGAACTACCAGATTAAACACTGTGCCAAACTGATGGACATTTTTAAATTGATTAAGGAAAATGATTTTTCAACCAATTTTGGATGAAAAGAAAAAAAAAACATGAAGTGGTCAAAATCAAGTAAAATACAGGATTGGCTATAAATCGCCAGAAGCCCTAAACAAATATATTAGAAAATCTCCTAAAAAAGCATAAAGTGAAAGGTAAGTGATTAAAGGGAAACAATCCCAATCAATATCATAAACTAGACAATTAATATCATCCATTAAACATGGCAAGCTGATTTCTTTGAACTGTAAATCTCCAGCAAATAAAAAAAAATAACAGAATGAGACATGCAAATACAGAATCAAAAAGACCCATCATCTCAAATCTATTAAAAACTAAACCCAAAATTTCAAAAGAAAAAAAAAATCAAAGTACCATGTGGGTTGTTTGATGAAGTGATGGTGTTGGCTGTTTGTTCCTTCTTTTTCTTGGCAGCTTTTCTCTTCTTAGCACCTGATGGCATGATTGTTTCCCTCTTCCTCCCTTTGTACTACTATTTTTTTCTCTCAATTTTCTTAACCCCTCGCCTACTGCTATCACTAGTAGTAACTGGTAAGGAAAACCTGCTGGGAAAAAGCAAGAAAGGACAAAGTAGCAGGAGTGGTAATATTGACTGTTAGTAAGTTGGGAAAATTTGGCAGTCAAAAGCCAGGGAGCGATTCGCTGTTAGAATTCAGAACCCGCTTCAAAAAACGCTCCTTTTGTTGCCTTAATCCCTTTGAAAATTGAAATACACTTTGAGAGGAAATTTCACGGCTTTATATTCTCGCTATTTAGCTAATACGCATGACCTATCAAATCAAAATATTTTATGGATTATTTTATTGATTTATTTGTATTATAGGTATCTAAACTATAATTTTTATTTTAAGTTGGTCCTTAAACTTTTAAATATTCTAATTTCATTTCTAAATTATGAATATCATTCTAAATAGTTCCTTAAACTTTTAAACATTCTATTTTTAATCTCTAAACTATGACCATGTTTCTAAATTGGTCCCCAAACTTTTGAATCTTCTAATTTTATTACTAAATTCATCCAAATATGTAAATAGTTACAATCTTAGTTTAGTCTAAATTTCACTTTTTTCAAACATGTAATAATATACTTGAGCTAACGATTTTATTAACAAAGGATGTGATTAATATATATATATATATATATATATATATAATTTGGGATAAATTTAGAATGTTCAAAAAGTTTAAAGACCAATTTAAAATAAAGATCATAGTTTGAGCAAGTGTATCTATTTGATCTCAAAACCTTTAAAAAAAACAATATTCCTCTTAGAGTTTGATCGCAGTAAGTATTAATTAAAATGTAAAGATTCATGTAAATGTAAAATATAAAAAAAACTAAGTAAATAAAATAATAAAATTTGAGGGTTTATTTAATAATACATTACTCCTAGTCTCGTGAAATTGTGGGTAGGGATGTTCATTCGATTAAAATAGTGGTCGATCGAACTGAATTACCATTAACCAAATTTACCGTACTTTTTTTTTTCTTTAACCGTTAACTGAACCGAACTTTTTTTTGAAAATATTAACCGAACCAAATAAATTTCGGTTAATTCGGTTAATTTTCGAATTAACCAAAACTTTTTAAACTTTTCTAATTTATATAAAAATTGAATATTTTTTAATTCAAAAAACAATTTACAATTAATTTAAATAATATAAAATTATAAAATAAAATTTTTATATAGATTTGTTTAATTAATTAATATTGATTTAGGTTTAAAAGTTATTAGATCTTAAATATTAATTTGGATTTAAATGATTTGGACTAAGCCCATATGTTATATATAATATATTTAAAATTTAAAATTTAATTTCGGTTAATTAACCGATTTCGAATCGAATTAACCAAATTTTAAAAAAATTATTAATCGTTCTCCAACCGAACTAATTCAAAGACCAACTGAATTAATTGAAATAATTCGATTCAATCAATTAATTCGATTAAAACCGAAAAATAAACACGTGTGTGAACATAATCGTTGCTTTTGAAATGTTGAAACTATTTTTATGAGATAATTAAACCGAGATGTGGACATATGCGAAAGAGTGGTTCGTGGTCTGCCAAGTACATGTTTTGTGGATGAAGTTTCTGTCTGATTGATGTGATTTAGTATTTGTAATTAAACATAAAAGTTGAAATTTAGCGATTTTAAAGGGCTTTTATTAAAGATGGGATTTAAAGCATGGAAGCCACGTGGCTTTTCGGATTAAACAGGTAAACCTAGTCGGCAGCAGATAACTCTATTACTCTACATTATTTTTTTAGATTTATATACTAAATAACTCATGTTAAATTTAGGCTTATTTTAATCATTAATTAAAATTTTTAATGTATTCACTGAATTTTTTATTTGTTGTTATTTTAATCATTCAATAATTAAATTATAAATAAAAGTATAATATGACAGTCACCTGTCATTTATATTGATGTGAATCACTTCTCATTGATATAGTAATCGCATATTATTTATGTTATTTTTCCTTTCTTTCTTTTTATTTTTTAATTTTATCTTATTCATGTGAAGATGAAACCTTTATAATTTCATCACTATTTCAAGTTGATGCTAGAATCGTCATTCTTTAGTATCTTCTTCGACCAATCGAAATACAAATAAACTTACCTCATTATCTCATACCTCTACGTCATCTTAAATTTTCCTAAATTACTTTAAAACTAACAAAACTCAACCCAAAATATAAAACTTACAAATCCTAAATCACCCCTAATCTACAATATCCACCGTTTGATCAATGTGCAATGAGGATATACAACTTGCTTCTTCCTTCTCCACTTTCTCACTAATGGGATTTGGAAGAAGATGTTTTATCGTCGATAAATCAAATAAAATCCAAAATCGGGGGGTTTTCTAAATTTTTTGAGGTCATTTCATAAATTTTAAAAGATAAATGCTCGATCATAACATAGTTAAGCATTTAACGACGGGTAACTAAAATAGGAGAAAATCGAGGGTTCAATAAGTTAACTATTTTTAAAAATTTTAATACCCAAAATAGAAGTGAAAAGAAAAATAAATGATAAAAATTTATAATTTACCTTAAGTTATAAATAAGTTTTTGAGATAAATTAAACTTATACTTAAAATTTTCAAATGAGACATTGAAATTTGATTATAGAATTTTTAATAATGGTTTAGTTGAAATGCCTTACTAATTTTAGGCATTTCCGTATTACAAATTATTAAATAAAAACTTATTTAAGAGAATATTTTACTTAAATTTGTTTGCTATATTATTATTAAAATTGATTATTAAATATGATTAGAATTTTTGAATAAATACATATAGATTAAATATTCATTTACAATATTTATGTTTAATAAAATTCGTATCTATAAAAAGAAATCCATAAAATTAATTATCTTATCATTAAATTAATGCTTCACCAGTTACTTTTTTCACTTATTTTTATGGGTATTAATTAATCTAATATAAATAAATGTAATATTGGAGGAATGATTAATTTGCAACCAGAATCGATCATTTTCATTTTAAAAAGTTTGGTGAGAGGTAAGATAACTGTATAGAAGATCTGAAAATAAGAAAGATATAAGATTTTATGTCAGGAATATTACTTTTTAAAAATATATATTAAAAATTTAAAGATGTAAAAATATAAATTTCTATCAATATTAATATTAGATTATTAAAAATATTTAAAAAATATATAAACATTGTATAAAAAATTAAAATTATTAAAAAATCGATCATGTTTAAAAAGTAATTTATCAATATAATCATTAATTAATCAATCTCAACAACAATTCAGTGAATTCACTCCACTTCCAACTCTTTTAGAAAATATCGGTGACAAAAAAAAAAAGAAAATATTTTTATTGTACCTCTAGACCCGGCATAAACTGATCGCCCAAATTTAGGCAGTCACAAACCGTATTCATATATTATTTTTGTATTCAAAACATATTTGAAATCTATTTCAGTAAATAAAATATAAATAAAAGTAAAATACAGAAATACATAATGGTAAATATATATATATATATATCATCAGAGGTCTGTATGAAAACATGTTCAGAACAAAATATTGGTAATACAAATACAACGATAAAAACACGTGTCATCAAAATAAACAGAGATGAGCATAAGGAAATATACAATGATACAAAAAGGAGAACAATCAATCCTCATGATGCCAAATTTGCTAACCTACTATCAGATAGTATCTGAAAAGTTAAAAAATTAAAGAGTGAGCTAAAAAAATCCAGTGTGCTCAGTGTGGTGTATTCAGATAAATACTTCAATAAAAATTAATTTATAAAAACATGCTCTTTAAAACGTAAACACTACCCCATCCGAACATCAGAATGTGTAGGTTCCCCTGAACTATACACCCACCTGTACATCCAGTAAGGACCTTATACTGATAGCATAAAGAACTGTTGTAAGGACTTACCCTGTGTACAAAGCAGAAGATCCTGCAGTAGGGTCTTACAAGTCAGATAATAGGCATGAGTTACGTCCTCTAATCATACCACCAATGATAGTGAATATGCATGAATTGAGTGAAAACAATGGTTTATTCTTTAAAACATGAACAAATTCCATTTTCCAAAACCAAATACAGAAATATAGTAACTAGAGATCATACCAGAAATATACAGTAAATAGGATATCAAAAGTCAAAGCATGTGGTAAAATAGATATCATGTAGTCAACATATTTAAATTCCAAAACAGTTCAGGCAGATAGTTTAAAACAATATTGTAACACCAATAGAAACACACCTGAACCAATCTGAGGAGTCTGGAACGGTAGTCTACTCTCGGGTCTGCCTATCACGATCGGCGGTGGCGCCCCTACAAATCGGAAGAATTAGCTCAAAATCCCAACATAAAATAAATAATAAGCTTTAATTAAACAATTTATAGAAACTTACGAGTAGCTCTAGAAGAACGTGCAATGAGCTGATCTATCGAATGGGAAGTATCGAATCTAGTCGATCCTAGATCAGGGGAATCACAAGTACCTTCATGAGAATATAATCCAAGATCAATTCCATAATCAAATCCAAAATAAGTATGTAGAAATGCTAGAAATACTAAGCATTTACAGATTAACGGGCTTATTTCGGGCCTTCAAGATAGAACTTGGCAAAACAGACTGTAAAATAGGACTTAGGACATCGAAAAACGTCGAAATGGAGTTTTTCAGAAAAAAAGTCAACGGTCAAAATCAACTTGTTCGGCTTGATTTGGTCAACGGTTAGTTGGTTCAATTTGTAATATCCCAAAAATTTAGATAATGACCAAAATGTAAATTTTGAAAGTTTGATGGTCAAAGTGGAAAATTGGGAAAAGTTTAGGAAATTAAGTGATAAATTTCCTAAAAATAATTTTATTCCATAAATAGATAGTTTACTATTGAGAGTGAGGATTTATGAAAATCATATTTTGGATTTGGAATTTTAGTAAAGAAAAATGAGAAATGATTGAAGTTCGGTAAGGAATCAGTATTTTAAAATTTAATTGGAAGTTTACAAAAATTTGAGGGATGTTATAAAATGATTAGAAATATTATTTTAATATTTTGGATCAGAGAAATTTGGTTTGAAAATGTGCAATTTTTCAGATTTGATCTAAATAGTGGAATTTAGCGACTAAAACGCAATTTTTAAAAATTCCAGGGAAATTTCAGAAATAAAAGTCA